AGATTACTATATAATATCATATTATCTGAGAAATGGTAATACTGATGTAGGACCTATAGCAATGTATGTCACATTAAGTTAACTGAGATGAGTTTTCTTAACGGAATGACATTGATAAATACTATCTCTTTTCTTGTTTTGTTTTAGTTTTATATTCATGATTTGTGTGATTCCAAACTTTTAATAAAATAGATCTTCTCACTTTTCATAAGGCATGTCTGTAACAATCCAATGTTATGTACCCTATAATTTTCTTTCCCTCATGTCTTGCGCCTATAAACAAATACTAGTATCTTCTTCATCCATGCATAATATTTATCTCTCTTTCTTTTTATGTATGTACGTCGTTATTTTACAATTGTCATTCTTTTTTTAGTGATGTGTAGTGCAAATTTTTCATTCTTCCCATATATTGATTGATATTCTTGATGTTTTTCTTTTGTATCCAAACTCTATAATCTCTTTTCTCTTACGAATTTGTCTTTATTTGTTCTATCTATCTATTTTTGTGTTTGGTGGATTCTTTTTGAATGAAATAAGGTATAAGAGATGGAAAAAAATGTTGTAACGTTGCGATTTTGGATATACAAATAAAACATACATATTGTTTCTTTTAATAGTATCTTATACAATATCAAAGATTGTAACAGTATCACAAAACTGTCAATATAGAAAGATGGGAATGAGGATGCGAGAATGAGTTGTCTAATATCCAAACCAAGATGTATTCAATGATATTTTTCTTCGTCGTCCATGAATCAGTTCTCATTATAAAGTAGTAAAATTTAAGAAAACTTTTTGTTGCTCAATTTATTATAGCCAACAAACTCGAAATGATTGAAGAGATATTGATCTTGTTGTAACATTACTTAATCGTGTTTTAATAACGTCATATTCATAATCATAATACTAGAGCGTCTCTGGAGGATGGATATGGGTGAGTAAAGAATAAACTACATTCACACTTTTATATCACACGTAGATCAATGTAAATTTAGAATTTAATTCACGAATATTTATTTAATAAAAAAGATATTTAATACACAGATAGAAATAATTAATTTTCGTAATCGATTAATTTATTCAAGATTTTCATTTCTTGTTCCAAATCTTTATCATTGAGTTCAGTTATTTCTGATTGAAAATAGTTTCGAAATGTTTTGAATTGTTCTCGAAATTGATTTGAAACAATTAATGGTGTCGATTGTCGTTCCCAATCACTTAATTTCTCAACATTTCGTTCGTTTAAATCAAAGAAAATTTTTCTTTTATTATATTTCTGTTCACGTTCATGATTAATCCATGTTTTCAATAATGTCACATAATTAACAAGAACAATAGCTTTTTGTATACCAGAATTAGCATAATGAATCTTATTATTCATATGAATATCAATGGATTGTTTATTTTCATGTGTATGACCAAGACGATCTTCATAAGTTACTGAGAAGCACATTTTAGTATTTAATAAATCAAGCAATGATTTTTTTGGTTTTAATTTTAATAAGACAATCCCACCACGTGTACAATCTTTATCATCTGTTCGTGATGGAAATAATGTATTAATAGTAATTAATTCATCATGTTTATCTTGATTCCATTCAGGTGAACCATAAACTTGTTCAACATCGAATAAATCAGATTCAAGTTTCATTTTCACATTGAATACTAATGTTGTTAAAATAAGATCAAAATCTTTATCCAAAAGTTGGAGGAATTTCTTTGAATCATGTACAGAAAAATAATTTGCACCTCGATGTTTTGTTATGGAAGATATTAATTGAGTATTAAGATCAATTCCAACACCGAAAAATGTTGTATAAATACGATGTTTTGATAATTGTTCAATACGTGAAGAAAAAGTATTTTCTTGTAGAGAACCTTCATTGGGTTGTGCATCAGTTAGAAATAAAATTCGATTATCATATTCATTATTGATTATTAAAGAAGCATCTTCAAAAAGTGATGCACAACAATCAAGAGCTGCACTCATATTTGTTCCACCATCAGCTCGAATTTTTAAAAATTGATCTTTCAATTTTCTTATATCGATCTCTGCTACTTCTGTCATTGTTTGAATGACCGATGTTTTACTCTCAAATGTAATAATAGCGAGTTGATCATTAGGCTTCAAATAATCTAATACTTTAGAAATAACTTCAATAGTAATTAACATTTTTGAGCGAGTATCAAATTCAGTATCATCATTATTAGTTCTAAAAAAAATAATATGAAATCTCTTTGATCTTTCTTTTTTCATATTATAGGTAGATGTACATACGTGTTTGAATGATGTTTATCATAATGATAACGATTGAATGGTGACGACATCGATCCACTTACATCAACACAGATGAGAAGATTCATTGGATTTCGTTTAAATGTATCTTCAGTTAAATTTGAATTCAAACCTACAGTCATATAATATTCATCAGATTGTTGTAGAGGATTTTTTGTGATAGCTATTGAATAAGACGGACAAAATAGATTTTGATTATCTTGTTGTTGTTGTTGTTGTTGTTCATTTCCAGTATCAAAAAAATAATCATTAAAAAGACCTTCATAGGATAAATCTGTTATGATTGGTAAATAATTATTTTGAATATTTTCACGAAAATTATTCACATCTTTTGCACCACCAACAGCAAATCCTAATCTTCTTCCACATCCTCGTAAACCTATAAACAATCATAAATATAAATGGGAAAAAAAAGAAAATATTGGGTTTTTTTGCAACTAACGAAGAACAAGGTGAAGTGTCGATTCTTTTTGAATATTGTAGTCGCTGAGTGTTCGACCGTCTTCAAGTTGTTTGCCAGCAAAGATAGCGCGTTGTTGATCAACTGGAATACCTTCTTTATCTTGAATTTTGAGTTTCACATTCTCAATAGATTCGTTTGCTTCAACTTCAAGCGTAATAACTTTGCCAGTTAAAGTTTTGATAAAGATTTGCATACCACCTCGAAGACGTAATACTAAATGAAGAGTACTTTCTTTTTGTACATTATAGTCACTGAGTGTACGACCATTTTCGAGTTGTTTGCCAGCAAAAATAAGACGTTGTTGATCAACTGGAATACCTTCTTTATCTTGAACTTTGAGTTTCACATTTTCAATAGTATCCGAAGTTTCAACTTCGAGAGTAATACTTTTACCAGTGAGCGTTTTTACAAAGATCTGCATATTATCAGTATAGAAAATGCGATTGAATGAAGAAAGTAGTAAATCACATATCTACTTATATACTACTTTGATCACTCCGATTTTTCAATGTTGAGCAATATAACAGTAATCATGACTGCCACGGGTAAAACATAATGTATATCAAAGGAAGGAAAGACAAAATATGATGTGACTCATTGGTAAAAAACGAGAACGAGAAATTTCTTTCTTCATCGAGAATATGACTCATCTAGTAGTTGCATCCTAATGATGAAAATATTCGATAGTGAATTACGAAAGGTGTTTTTCATATTCTTTTTGGTAGAATAATCTTCTAAATGTTCTGTACATAAGTCAACTTTCTACAAGATCGAATAAGATCTACATATAGCTATGAAAATTATAAAAAAAATCGATTGATATTGGCGCTTGTAGAAAGATAATAGTTCTAAATACTAAAATATATGATAAAGCAATATCTGTGCAAAAGATATTCGAAACGATTTGACTAGCTGTTGAATTGTTTTGATGTTGATAGAATAGAAAATCTTTAATCAATTCTCAAACACTGTGGGAAATAGTAGAAATCCTCCTATTGAAATGAACTAGAAAGATTTCTACGTGAGAAAGAATTAAAAGAATCGATTTGATCTTTCTAAATAATTTGGCGAAGTCTATAAAAGCACAATGTTTTACTTTGTATTATACCTTATTTGCGTATATAGTTGGCTTTCCTATTTATAAATTTCATTCTAAAGAATAAATAAAATATTGAGGACAAAGACGTTTGTACTGTCCTATATTCACTATACTTGTTTGGATTGATAAATAAAATAATCAGTTAATATTTTTGTTTATAAATGAATAAGAATTGAGTTTTGTTCATATGATTTGTTTTAACAAAAACATATCAATGATAATTTTTTCTTATTTTCCTATTGTCTCTAATTCTTTTGTTTTGTTTTTGTTATTATTGGTATCTTTTTTTAATAGTATAGACACCCTCACCCTCACCCTCACTGTCGTTTATATTTGTTTGTTATGTTGTTCTTCTGTATTTTGTTTCCTATGGATCGATAGCAGCGTGATAGCTAAAACTAATTTTTCTCAAAAGTTAATAGCTGAGAAAAACGGTAAAAATAATTCAAATAATTCGAATCTTCAATCCAAGTTATAACTTCAGTTATAACTTTCAATCTTGTTAAGTATCTTAATTTCGTAAGAAAATTTGAGTTAAATTTAAATAGTAATCACTTTGATTTATTCACATACTCCATGCAATAGATAGCAAAGCACATGTTTAAATTATTCATTAATTTAAGAAAGACGTTCAAACACACATAAATAAATACATATACTTTTTATTATAGAATTAATGATAATCTTAAATCGTAAACAATTGAGAACAATATTTGAGAACAAAAGAAACAACTTTATTTCTAATTTTCATTCTTTAAAATTGTGCTTATTGATGATAAATTACTTATTCATATGAAACAACTTCGTAGATTTACATTTTATATTCAATCCGTAGAAGAAATTATCGTTCCTATATCTATTAGTGATATTGAACAATCATTTACAAATAAAAAATATGGACAAGTAACTTGTATGATAGATTATTTGAATTATTCTTTAATATTATATCGAATATTTTCACTTCCAACTAAATTTCATTATCTTGATAAAATCTCAAATAATATTCCAAATATTACTTTTAATTCTGTTACTTATTTGAAATTAAAAGATGAAAATCCATTCAAACATGAATTTTTCGTTCGACTTCAAAGATCTTTTCCAAATGTTAAATATTTATTTATCTATCTCAAATATTCAACAACCATATTGGCGTTATGAAGAACGTTATCTTCTTGAAAAAGGTTGGTGTTCAATTATTGAATTTTTACATCTTATTGTTCTTGACGTGAAAGATGCTCACTTTTATTATCTTGAACATTTTCTTAATGAAACAAAAACCCATCTACCTTGTTTAACAGAATTAAAAGTTAATTATGACAAACTGGAAGACGTCACAAAAAATTTTCGAAAAGATGAAATGCGTCGTAATTGTAGTCGAGTGCAACGAATAATTCTTGACCGTCCAATAGTTTATGCAGAACATGTTTATCGTTTTTTTCCTTCATTATTATAAGTTTAATTTTGTGTTTTTTTCATTAGTTTAATAATTATTTTCATTTAACGTTTTCATTTGTAATACAATTATTTCAGATAAACTTTTTGTAAGTGATTTCTAAAAATTAGCAAAATATTAAGTTTTGATGAGAGAGATTGCATCTAGATAGTATAAGAAAATCTAAATAGAATTTGATTTTGAATTCAATTCAAACTATAAAATACTTGATTTTAAATATATAAATCGAAAAGAAAATATTCTATTTTAATTTCAATATGCATTTTTGTTATATTAAAATTTCTTAAAGAATTATTCGTTTGAAAAAATAGTTTCTTTTAATTGACATTTTTCACAGATCCTACTCTACACGAAATGTAATTTCTATAGGTAGTAATTTTCACTTTTTACAAGTTTGAAATTTTAATAAACATAATATCTCCTTCTATAAAGAAATTGAACACTTTACAAAGTGATTAGTCTAAAATACTTTTGAAATCTAAATCAAACGAGCTTAAAATTGAAAAAAGTTCATATTTCTTTTTATTAGAAAGATTATTTTGAGTTTATTGAATAAATATATCTGTAAAGAACATTAATTTGTTGTATTAACTAATTCTCTTTTAAGTTCGTAAAAATTTATTTTTTAGTTAATGAAAAAGCAATGCAAATTCTATGCTAAGGTTTTCTTGACATATGTTCTAATTGATTTTATTATATATTGAAGAAAAGCAAATAAATATAAATATTTAAAATAGAAGAAAAAGAAAATATTGACATTTTTTACTTTTCCTAATCTCTTATAAAATTTTGACAGTATGAAAATATTTCTTTTATTTTAAAAGTGTTTTCTAATAATATTAGAAAAAGAGTGAAATAAAATTGAATATTTTATATTTCTACATTATCAAAAAATTATTTTATTACTTTTTTTAAATTAAAAGATAAAATAAAATCTATTCTATTCTATTATTATTCGATTTATTTGTCATACAAAATGAAATTAAAGTTGAAAAAATTTTTAAATTATTTATTTAGATCGGTCGTTTGATCTGTGCGATCATGGCTTTCTTTGTATCTGTTGATATAGTATTGAGTGTGATTTGGATAGCTGGATTGATGTTGACAATAGCATAGATTGTTTTTGTATGGATCATAGGATTATCAAGTACAAGTCTATTCATTCTTGATTCGTTTACTGGTTTGATCTTCTCATCAATTTTTCCATTATCATTTGATTTTATTAATCAACGATTAGTTGTCAATCCACTACTTCTTAGTCTTATCTTGTGTGGTAAGGAGTATAATTGGATAATCGAATATATGTATTGAATGGTATTATTTAGGTATTATGATGGACATAAATCCGCGACATTTTCTCACACTGCTGATGATTTGTATTCTTCTAGCAATCGTACGCTAATCTAGTGCATTACTCCTGTCGTTCTATCATCGTCGATAAGCTGCGAAGAAATCTCAACACCCGAATGAAGAAGAATAAAAAATAGCAACGTTTTTGGTCGATATTGAACAAAAGAAACAATGAAAATTCTTTTTGCATCCTACGATTTTCTTTTGCATTTCATCATTCGTAGAAACAAAAGACATTTGTATATGTTTAAGATCTGCCATGAAATCTTATTTGCCAGTTATAGATTACATAATTTCATGTATATCTAAAGCCATATTATGATACAATGCCGATAGGAATCGATTGTTTTATTTTCAGAATGAGACTTTACTTTCGTGAAGCATCCGTAATCTTCAGCAATTCTTTATCAAATTCTCATTCTACTTCATAATTACTAAATTTTCCGTTCGAACTCTCAAATTCAGTGCTTATTCGATCAAAAACATCATATCTCACATATACTATCTATCAACATGTAGAAGAAACAAATAATTTTAGTCATCATTCCATTGACTACAAAAAAGTTTCATTATGTAGCAATGTAAAGAAGAACATGATAAATAATCAACAGAAGATTGTGAAGATGTCATTAAATGAACTTTTTTCAGAAGTATTAAGTGATCATGAAAATGAACATCTGGAATAGTTTTTCAAAAAACAAAAAGAGTCGTGTTGATTGTATTAAATACAAAACATTTCCGACAATAAATATTTTATTCTTTTTTAATGTATTTTATGAAACATTTGCCGTCATTCCATGATTTTCTCTTTTTATATTCCTGTAAATAACCAAAATAAATATTATTCAACAAAGATTTAACATTAACACAAAATAACAACTCACATCTGTCAATAGTTTATTTAAAACTAACTTTTCAAAAAGGAAATAAAATAAATTTTTCTATTGACGTAGGATTTGTTTTGTTCCAAATGTCATAATATTTTAAAGTGATTATTTAAGAGAAGACTTATTTTTCATTCAACTCATACAAAACTATTTCTAATAATCTCATATAACAATAAATGAAAACTTCATTTAGAAATTGTTTTCTTTCAATTTAGGTTGATGCATTAATAAAACATCAAATCTCATAAATATTCAAACTCAGATAAACAACAACTATGTACACCATCAACCGAATTGAACCTGCCGAAGTAATGTATTAGATAGGGAGAAAATAGTCTTATTGGATTTTTGAATATTTTAGTCGATAGTAATTAATCCTAGTACAATACCATCAGGAAGATTGTATGTATATATTGTGAAGAAAAATAAATCACCAAAAAAGAATGTATTATTCTAGACATGAACATCGTCGAGCAAGAAAATTTAATTGGATAATATTTATCATTATTTGTATTGTTGTAATTGCAGCTGTCGCAACAACTACTCTTTTGCTGACGAAAACTGAAAGAGAAAAAGCATCAATAATGGAGATGACTACACTTACATCAATATTAACATCAAGAACAACAACAACGACAACGTCATCGTCTATAGCAATAACAGCAACAACAACAACAACAAAAATAGCAATATCATCATTATCAGTATCATCGTTATTATCATCACCACAATTCTCATCATTATCACCATCAAAATTCTCATCATTCTCATCATTAATATTATCATTACCAGAATTAACATTACCAGAATCAACATTACCACCATTATCATCAATATTTGAATTATTATCATCAGAACAATTATCCAGATTAGTAACGTTAGTATCAGCATTATCATCATTACAAAAAAAATCATTATCATCATTGTTATCATCAATGTCGGAATCACAATTTTCATCATTATCATCATTATTCAAATCAATGTCAGCACCACAATGCACAGCATTCACATCAGTATTAACATCACCAAATATATCATTATTAGTGCCATTAATGCCATTATTAGGATCACCATCATTCGTATCATTAAAGTCATCAATATCAGAATCACAAAAAACATTATTATTATCATTATCACCATCATTATCATTATTATTTTCATCATCATCATTATCACAATCATTATTATCATCATTACTTTCATCACTAGGCTAGAGAAGACTCTTGCAAAAATAAATTGTTTGTTTATTTGTTTGTTTATTTGTTTGTTTGTTTGTTTGTTTCCTTGCTTGCGTGTATGTCCGCACGTCACTGATTGGTCGAAAAGTAAAATAAAATCATTAAAAAGAATATTCTTTCTCAAAAAGTTTGACTGAAAGATAATCAATGTCAAAGAACTCGAATCTGAGGTCAGTTTTTACGTGTTATACAAATAAAAACCTCAGTAGGATTGTACAAGAGAATTGCTACAAGAAAGAGCTGACCGAATCACTAGACGAGCGTTATTTGTTATCATCATAATTATCACCACTATTACCATTATTATCGCCGTCAACAATAACAAGCAGCATGATTTTTTTAAAACTAGTGGGCTTTATAATGTCGTCAATACGTCTCCCAGAATTTTGTCAATTTCACTATCTATTAAATATAAACTAAAACACTTTTCATACTTACACTGATGAGTGCAAGCTATCATTTATCTATAATAATAACATTAATGTGCTGAGCTCTGACATATATCCTATATTAATATTATTTCGTGACAAATTGCAAAATCTACTGTACTTTCACCGCTGGTGAATGTTCTATTAAAGATAGCCTTATTGGTAAACATTTTTCCATCCAAACTAGTTAGTTTCTCATCTGAAATAACTCATAAAAGATAAATTAGTTTGAGAGTTCAGACGTAGTATTATAGTGATCCTTCATCTATATTGACTCTCACTTCTTAATCCACCCCATACCATTACCCTCATCCTCAAGATGGTAATGCTTTCGTTGTTAATGATATTTCTAACAGTAATACTCACTTGAATAGTGCACAACTATATAAAACATCATACAAATGACAGTATTTTCTATTGTAGTTTGCAACATATATTGCTTTTTCAAATTAAAAATATTTATTCATAAATACTTCAAAATAAAACGATCATTAATAATATCTTAAAGTTGATGAATTTACTCTGGGATTGTGAGTATGAGTGACATGCATATTGTTATTGAATATATTGGATTCACATTACACTTATCCGTGACTTCATCTTGTAAAACATTTCTTATTGATAATTCGATTGTGGCAGTTTATTACTTTTCGTGTTTCATACATTTTGAGGGTGTGTGTGAGTGTGGATGAGGTTATGAAGTGGATACACATGAAAGATTGCTATAATATCACATCGACACCATCTATTACTTCTTCAAAAACACAATTCTTCTCACAAATCTGTATACTCAACAGACTTCTGCACAAACACCAATGTTACTACTATTGACATCGAATATTGCTAACTCTTCTTGAATAAAAGAATAGAGATAAGAATATGAAAGAAAAGACTAGAAATTTTCTTTCCATATCTTATATATGCTGGCTATGAACGTATATAGAAGAAACAAATAATTTTAGTCATTTATTTTTTCAGTGCAAAAATAATTCATTTTGTAGCAATATAAAGAAGAACATGATAAATAATCAACAGAAGATTGTGAAGACGTCATTAAATGTATTTTTTTCAGAAGTGTTAAGTGATCATGAAAATGAACATCTGGAATAGTTTTTCAAAAATGAAAGAGTCGTGTTGATTATGTTAAATACAAAACATTTCCGATAATAAATATTCTATTCTTTTTAATGTATTTTATACAGTATTTGACGTCATTTCATGATTTTCTCTTTTTATATTGCTGTAAATAACCAAAATAAATATTATTCAAGAGAGATTTTACATTAACACAAAATAACAACTCGCATCTGTCGATATTTTATTGAAAATTAACCTTGAAAAAAGGAGTATGATTCATTTTTCTGTTGATATAGAACTTTTTCGTTCCAAATGTCATAATATTTTAAAGTGATTATTTAACTCATGTAGAAATACATGAAAACATTTACAAAAATTGTTTTATTTCGTTTTAGATTGATGAATTAATAAAACAAACCAAATGACATAAATACAAAAACAATATTCAATGAGATAATTCGTAGATTTATTTTTAAGAAAAGAAGAATTTTGTTGATTTTAGATTTTAAGTTTAGATAGAAAAACACAACTATGAACATCAATAACAGAGTCAAACCTAATAGAGTTAATGTATTAAATAAAAAAAATAAATTATCTTTTGTTTTCTTTTTGCATATTTTAGTTTATAGAAATTAACCCTAATAGAACAACAATAAGTGTTATGTTTTTTTAGAACAGGAGTTTTTCTTTATTGAGTTTTAGATATATCATTTGAATGATGATATAAATTAGTTTAATTTTCGATTGCCAGTAGCCATGTATTATACTTCTAGAGAATTATATCGAAAAGATCATTGAACTCATAGTTTATCCATTTATATCCACACATACATTCTTACTGTGATATAGAAGAAGTAAAGACAAATTCGTAAGAGAAAAGAGATTATAGAGTTTGGATACAAAAGAAAACATCAAAGATTCAAGTCCGTATATGAAAAGAAGGAAAAATAGACACTGCATTACTAAAAAAGAAACGATAAGTATAAGGTAACCATGTACATATATAAAAAGAGAGATAAATATTATTTATGGGTGAAGAAGATACTAGTATTTATTCATTGACGGAACAAATGTTAGAAAAGAAAATGATAAGATAAATAATATTGGATTGTTACAAATATATTTTGTAAAAAACGAGAAGATTTCTTTTTATGAAAAATTTGAAGTCACACAAGTAATACGCATAAAACTCAAAAAAAAGCAGAAAAAAGATCGTGTTTATCAATGTTATTTCGTTAATAAAAATTATCTCAGTTAAGTTAATGTGACATACATTTGCAAAGGTCCTCCTGAATCAGGTTCGATTCTGATATAATATGATATAAAATAGTAATCCCCAACTACAGTAGAAAACGATTGTTCCAGATAATCAGTATTCTTACATGAATCGTAAACGCAGTATGTTCCTGTATAACATGAATTTGTTACGGTATGCGCATAATTACCAGTTGATTTTGTATCACAATTGGCAGTCGTGTTACAAAATTGTGTCCAGCCATTTAAATTTCCTGTTTCAAAACCACCATTAATTAGAACATCTGTGTTTGCGTTTGTATGATTCACAGATATTTCGTCTAATAGCCAGTAGTGAACGGCACCATCTCCACCCTCACCCTTGATTATAAATGATAGAGTTGCTGAAGAATGATTTGCCATGAAACCATAAATGTATTGTGTATACGTGGTCTTTGCAGAACCAGCGGGCAAATTCAAGATTTGTCCTGAAGGATTGTTGACAGCACTGCCGCATGCTGGTGCTATTGAGAGTGAAATAATATTCAATATAAAAGAATAATCATACGTTTGAAAACTTACTTGTTGTCGCCACTGTCGTTGTTTTTGTTGTTGTTGTTGTTGTTGTGGTCGTTGTTTTTGTTGTTGTTGTTGTTGTTGTTGTTGTTGTTGTTGTTGTCGTTATTGTGGTTGTTATTGTGTGCCTTTCTGTCGAGGCTGTAAAGTACGAAATGATAAATTACAAATAGAGATCATATATTTGAGATAAAAAAAGGTATCAAACGTAGTCAAATGACATCACAACAACTTCATAATATATTTTGAAAGAAGAAAAAACTCTTCTGTGTTTTCAGGATAAAAGGTTTTCATTGTCTGAAGTTAGCAAACGAGGAATAAAACACCATGATTCTCGCTTTTATTGAAATTTCTTAATGATTCTTTATCAATCACCAACACTTATCACATATTTCTCTTAGAAATGAATGATTTACTGTAATGCTTTCTTTATGATACTGCTCACAAATTATTATCAATTGGATGACGCAACCGGCGAAGACCGATCGATTAAAAATCTGAGTATAATGATAAAAATACTTATAATGTTGAAAGGAGTGTGATAAAGATCTATGGTTTTCATGACTGAAAAGAAGAGATGAAGGCACATTGAACTGTATAATAAAGATTTGGAAAACATGACTTTGTTTTCGTCAAACTTGTTAGAAATTAGATAGGAGTAACAAGTAAAATCGACATAACTTCTGAGCTTGAAACAATACAAACCTATGATTAATCTACAATTGTAAATCTCGATTCAAGCTGTTAACATCACTATTTGAAAATCAAAATTGAATATACACTAAGAGAGAGGAGTGCATGAATATGGATACAACTTATATCAATGTATCTGTATTCACGCACCTATGTTATCATATCTAATTTATCTTATAGATTCATATCATACCTGTTGTTGATGAAGTGATAATTGAGGTTGATACAGATAAGCTACTTGATGAGCCAGAGGATGATGTTTCTACAACTAGAAAGATGCATTTAGCATTTATAAAAAAAATTTCTCTATGTATGTTTTATGTTGAGGATGTCAATGTGAATATTATAATTATTATCTAATCACTCCTATACTTGGATCAAATCACAGTCTGAATATTCTTGTTTAATAAAACTGTCTGTACAAATCTAAAGTTTTGAATATATCTAACTGTATTTATGCATGAAAACAAAATAGGCAATATTAGAATGATATACATAATATTTTCAGTTAAATATTAATTTATAATAGTTCGTTGTCTAATTGATGGTGATCTTTTAATTAATTAAGAAAATCAATAATTATCATTATTACATACTTAATGTTTCTGTTGCTGTTGTTTTTGAGGTCAACCAGAATGTAAGTACAATTGCTAAACCTATTCCAACGAGTAATGATCCAACAATACACCATCTAAAACACCAATGCCAGGTAGGGTTTCTCTTATTCTGAAGAATTCTATTATTAAAATAAAGATATATAACCATCATGAAACTGATATTGTACTTACCGATCATTATCATCATCATCTGCCCAAGCATTGCGTTTAATCAAAGAATAACTTTGACGTTTAATTGGTACTGGATCTGCGGACCAGTTGGACTTTTGTCTGCATGCCATTATTTGTATTGTCAGTAGATTGGTAGCTGATTTCGATCTGAATTGAATAAAAAAATACATGTATACATATATATGGTTTGTATAATAAAAAAAAAATAATCAAAAATGAACTCATTTCAACGGCTTCGAATATGTCATGTGATTTTCATACTTTGAGTAAACTCAATTCATGATTTTAATCAAAAGTTTGATTTCGAGAATAGAAAAAAAGGGCGTAACAGAATGCATGCTCGATTGAAAAATTCATTGTATATTAGAGATGGACGAGTTGTGTTTCACAATTGAAAGACACATGAATATGATTTGTTTTTGCTATTAATTAAATTAACAATTTTAACTTTTCTAATTTTATTAAATATTCATCCTTGATATACTATCAAACGAAATATTAATTTCGTATAAAGTTTATAATTGTGAAATTTGACTTCTGATTAAGATAATATAAAACCAATGATAATCAATGATACAATAAATAAAAATAATAATAAATCTATAAGAAGATCATTGATTATTAAATCAGATGTATTACATTGGCTTCGATTAGATTTTGATTATTTTACATATTCAATAAAAAAATAAGATTTCTTTGTTTTTGATTTTTTCTTTTATATATTTCAAACAATATTTGAATATATAATAACGAATTTTTTCTTATTAATGACTCATTATTCAATGAACTGTCAAAAACAATGAGATAGATAGACGAGAAAAATTTCATGTAGATGATATTATGACACGATAAATATGAATAGTCTGCCTTGTTACAGAAGAAAGAAAAGAAAAGAAAATGATAGATATTGGTACATTTCTGTCTGATAAGCGCTTTATACATTTTTTCTCCCGCTCTGATAATAGATTATTCTACCAGACGGATATCATACATTCGAAGACAGTAAGTTTTTATTGCTGAGTTGATAGTTAAAAGAGTGTACGAAGTCCATACGACCATGAATCAATACTTTATTTATATCATTATCGAATTAGGATTTAATATTCTTCATGTTTTTAATAGGTGTATAATTAATACGATGAACTCTGTATCAAATATTGATATTTCATCGATTATTTATCGTTATGTCGAAAAGCATGAACAACAACACGCAGTAGATTTATGGTGTCCTATCTTTAAAACAAATTTTAATGTGGAAAAATCTTATTTTTCATTGGATGCATCACCAAATTATGAAGAAGGTGATACATTGGGTGCATGGTATAATGATAAATTAATTAGTACATTACATATTCGACGTTTAATATTATTCTCAAATGAAAACAATAAGAAATATCTGTGTGGTGGTATTACCAATGTAGCTACCAGAGAAGAATATAGAAATCATGGTTTTTCTCGACATCTTTTACAAATGGGTATTTAGAAAATGGAGAAAAGTAATGAATTCGATCTATCAATGTTAGGTACTGGAAGACCCAATCATTATTCAGTTTTTGGATGGGAACAAGTACCTCAACCTATTAAAATTATCATTCAATGGAAAACTATTAGCTCATTAGATATCGATGTTGTATGGCGTCCAATATCTGATCTTTCGTCTGAAGATTTTGAACTTTTACATAAAATTCATTCGAATAATCCACGTATCTATCAAATTGTTCGAACTCCATCTACTATATTCCAACATTGGGTTAAAATGAGATGGGAAAGCAATCATGCTATCGTTTGTCTATATGAACATAAAGAAGAACAAGGTTATGTAGTAATTGGTAAGTCCGACAATGAAGCAGATATATGTGTATTGGAATGGCAAGCACCAAATCGTAATCTTGAACAAAAATTATTATCTTTAGCTGTAACAGAGATTCGACAACGTTATGAATCAAAAAAAGTTATTTGTCTGTTTGCATTACCAAAATATATGACAATTGAAGATTTGACTCAATGGGCAGGTCCTCCTCAAATTGGTATTAACCAAGAAATAATGATGCGTAATATTCGATTACCAAAAGAAATATATGAAAAGATTAAAATTAGTTACTCGAATGGATCTACTGTTTTTTGGTCAGGGGATTATTTTTGATCTTTGTATATGTATAAAAATATTAAATATCAAAAGAATAATCAATAAAAAAAATGTATATATTGAATAATTCAGTATTTTCAAGTGAATAGATGAATATATTATTGATGATTTAATATCTAGTGTAAGTGATAAAAGTAAGATTAAATATATATATTTAATCAAGAAAAACCAACGTTAAAGAAAGTGATCTCAATGTTGAATATAAAAATAATTTAGTAATTTGTTATTGTGTGATAGTGTGTACATCAGACAGATAAAAAAAGAAATAAAATATTCTTTTGTAAATAGTCTTGCTAAAATGAAAATCAAATGACACCATAAAGACAAATATCATAGTTTATTCAAAGAAGATTATACAGTATGTCTCAAGAAAAATTTAATCTATTTTAAATATATATATATTCAAAGAAATTCATTCTATTTATAATGAAGAGTTTCTTATTAAAATCGATCATTTATTGAATAAAATAATCGTGATCGATATTACTCATATTATTAAATGCATATATTTCGCAAGCGTGTAATATAATTGTTCTATATATATATATATATATACCTTTATACATTACTTATAAGTAATACAGCATATGCAGGAAAGTAAAATATATTAGTCATGATTTCTTCTACCACTTACTTTTTAATACGAAAAAAGTAACTAACGGATGACTGATCACTGTTATAAAAGAGATAAAAATATACTTTTTCTTAATTCGTTTTGTTTTTTTCTCGTTCGATTATATATCACAGTAAGTGTATTTTGATTATTTTTATAAGATTCTAATTCGGATTGTAACTTCATATATTTACAAGAAAAACAAAGATTATTATAAGACATAAAAATATATTCTTCATTTATCAATTGATAAAAATCCTGGAAACTGATTTAATTTCTAGGAATATTCAAAACTCATTCAGAGAGATGCCTTGCGTTTATTTACTCGCCATCATCTCATCTATTGAATAGCAATCAATTAGCACATATTTCGAACACTTTTTTTTTATTACTAATTTGAATTTTCTAGCATTAGTTCTCATTTACAAAAAGTATAAGACAATGGAGAGTCATAATAAGAAGTCAAAAATAGCGACGACAACTGATCATAATCAATTTGAGCTACATGAAACTACGTTTGGTGATGAATTTTTGAATGATCAACAACCAATATTAGGCAAAGACATGGAAATCAATACTGATTTACCGTACAGTTTCGACACATCGCATATAAACTTAAATGTAGAAGATCAAAAAGAAGGAATGGTTGCAACAGAACATTCTACTAAAATTATAAATCACCTTGAAACAAGAAATAATCGAGGCGTGGAAGTCATTCCCAATGACTTGATTCTGAAACAAATGAATAATATCAACGACATCACAGCGAATCTTGAACCTATTATTGAGTATGCAGAAGAGCCGTTAGTATCTCTAACCGAAGCATGTGCTCCGCTCATTACTACTATTGATAATTTATCAGTCTATGTTCAACAAGCACTAAAAGAAACGCCGAATCCACCTCCTGATAAACTTACAATCGATGAGAGTGCCGCCATTCGCTTATACACACTTGAATGGGAAGGAAAACATCACAGTCTCTATTCAATGCTCAATCACACACTCAAAAAGGAGCCACGCGAGAAATTACGACCTTATTTCAAATATCTAAAACTGTTCTTAACTGCGCTAACTAAATTAACATGCGTTCCATCACTAGTTATTTGGCGAGGAGTAACTAAAGATTTGAGCGGTCAATTTCCACCTGGCACATCAGTTGTCTGGTGGAGTTTTACATCGTGTACAACTTCGTTACCCGTTCTAAAAAACAATATGTATTTGGGTGATGATGGTAAACGGACATTATTCTCTGTTGAAGCTATAAACAGTCGAGATGTGCGAGCTCATTCACATTTTGTTAATGAAGACGAAGTACTTCTTTTACCTGGTACTCAAATGATCGTTCAGTCTCAATTCAGTCCAGCACCTGATCTTTATATCATTCATTTGAAACAGATAGAGCCAGAGGAAGTACTACTAGAACTTCCATTTCCAGGTATTTTAAAGTTTTTCACTGATTTATCATGAACTAATAGTATATCTATATTTAGGTGCATATCTTTATCCTAAAATTGGGTAAGTTTAACTATACATTTATTAACTGTATTTTTCATGATATTTCTTATTATATTTACAAGACGTGCTTGCTACAGAAAGAAGAGATTTATCATTCCAGTATGTTTATTGACTATTATAATCATTGTGGCAACTGTTCTTGGCGCTGTTATAGGACATAAATCTCCAAGTATGATTTTTGATGTTCTTATTCTACTTACAGATACAGATGAAGTGTCCTAGAGTGACTTCGCTTCTTTCTGTAAGATCTTTTTCAATTTTTGGCTAAAATTTCAGAGTAATCAAGATATAAGGAGACTTGTTTGCCAGGTAATTTAGCATGATGAGATCTCTTTTAAACGTAGATAATTATTACCTATTTAATATTGCTCTTTCTGTAAAAAGTATTTTATTTCAATGTTATCTTCTTTTAGAGACTATCTGCAATAGACCTTTTGAACAATCCAAAAAATATAGTGTTGGAAGCGATCCATCTTATGCGGCGTTGGGTCACTTCAGAAACGATAAAGAAATAGATGTAGCAGTGACCAATCGAGATGTTAACACCGTTACTATTTTATTTGGTAACGGACAAGGAGCCTTCAAGTATCCATGGCTTTATGATGTTGGCCGTGGTCCAATTTCTGTGTTATCCTACGATCTGAATAATGATAAAAAGATGGATCTGTTAATTGCCAACCAATATAACAATACAATCAGTGTACTACTTAGTTATGGGAACGGAAGTTTTCAAGCCATACAAAACTATAACGTAGGTCGACAACCGATGTATGCTATAGCCTCTGATTTTAATAATGATGACAAATTAGATATAGCAGTCGTCAACTCCAATGACAGTACCGTCAGTATACTGCTAGCTAATGCGAATGGAGCTTTTCAGACTCCGACCAATTACGCCGTTGGTCAAACTCCGAGTTCAATTGTGTCAGCTGACTTTGATAATGATCATAAATTTGATCTAGCAATAGCCAACTTCGATGACAACACTATTAGTTTATTAAAAGGAAATGGGGACGGCAGTTTTCGTACTCAAATAAAGTATGCCGTTCCTCCAGGTCCATATTCAATCATCTCTTCAGATTTTAATAGCGATAACAAAATGGATCTAGCAGTAGCTAATCAAAAGGACAACACAGTTAGTGTACTACTTGGAAACGGGAATGGAGATTTTCAAATACCAACAAACTATACTGTTGGTAAAATGCCATATTCTATTATATCAACCGAATTGGATAATGATAACAAACTAGATCTAGCAGTAGTTAGTTACGCTGACAGCTCTCTCAGCGTATTGCATGGTAACGGCGACGGAACTTTTCAACCCCGAAAGACCTATATCGTTGGTAAATACCCGTATTGTATAGCCGCGGGAGATTTCAATAATGATAAGATAACAGATGTGGCAATCGTCCTTTACACCAATCAGCTGGTGACTGTGCTGCTAGGTGATGGAAATAGAAACTTTTCCTCTCAATTGAACTATACCGTTGGTCGATATCCGGCCTCTGTAACCGTAGCTGACTTTAATAGTGATAACCAATCGGATTTAGCAGTAGTTAACTATCGTGACGATACCGTCAATCTGCTATTCGGCAATACAAACGGATCGTTTCAGACTCAAACAAGTTATAAAGTTGGCAATTATCCAGCTTCTATGATTTCAATTGATCTCAATGCTGATACCAAATTAGACCTTGTAGTAACTAATCAACGTAATAATTCGGTGTGTACGATGGTTGGAAATGGCAATGGCACTTTCCAAGCACCTAGATATTTTGGTGTTGGCGAACTGCCGCGATCTATTACGTCAGCTGATTTCAATAATGATACTAAGCTAGATCTAGCAGTGACTAATTACAATGGAGCATCTATTAGTGTGCTTTTGAGCAATGGTGATGGCACGTTCGAGGCGGCAACGAACTATGAAGTTGGTAGTGGTCCGTGGTCGATAATTTCAGCGGATTTCAATAATGATAAAAAATTGGATCTAGTAGTGACAAACTATTTCGTCTTCACCATCAGTGTACTTCTCGGGTATGGAAATGGAAGTTTTCAAACTTCAAGAGACTATACTGTTGGTCGATATCTGGCATCCGTTATAGCAGTTGATTTTAATAGAGATATGAATATGGATTTAGCAATAGCCAATCAATGGGACAACATGGTAAGTGTATTGCTTGGTAATGGAAATGGAACTTTTCAATTATCACGGACATATGCTGTTGGTCGATCTCCAGATTCAATGATCGCCGCTGATTTTAATAATGATAAAAAGCTGGATCTAGCAGTTATCAACTTCGATGATCAATCACTTAGTTTGTTATTAGGCGATAATAATGGAATCTTTTCATTTCAAAGCATATATCCAACTGGTACTGGTCCATCAGCATTAAAATCTGCTGATCTGAACAATGATAATAAACTAGATTTAGTTATAACAAATTTTTATGATAGTGACTTGTCTGTTCTTTTGAATATTTGTGATTAATTCATTAATCAACAGCCATATTGAGGATGTGGGTGTAACTAAATAAAGACAAATATTTACATGTATATCCATAACTAACACCCACACCCATACCTTCAAATAGAGTTCACTTTGTATCTGAATAATAATTTATATAAACAAAAAAACATGAATAAACATAAGATCTCTCTAAATACTATTGATGAAGTCATACTGAAAATGAGATGTTAGTATAATATATCATTGAAAGTTAGATGATCAAATAGAATAATTTTAATATTCAATGAATCATAACACTTCACGAGACAACTATATATAATCTGATAATTGATAACTTCTTGATCATGTTTAAGATTAACTTCATATTCAACATTAATGTCTTCTTCCTTTTGGAATCATTTTTTTAGTTCTTAAATTGAATAATTAATGATAATATCAAGTTCGAAATCTGTCAATGAACTAATTCACATTTGTTTTTATATTCATAATTTGTTCATCTTCAAAATTCTAGGATGAATATATCTTTTGTTTTTCAATGAGTTGATAATTATTGAATAAAAAAAGAAGTTTAGGGTGTGGGTGTCTTTCATCGATCTAAACCCGTACCCATACCCTCGCCGTATTGCTTCGTATACAGATTCGGTGCACAATCGTTGTACATCTTCTTTTTTTTTCGTTAACAGCCGTTTACAACTGTGCATGTTCGACCTGGAGTCATTTACTTTCCATATAATGCAAAAGCTCTATTTGTGACTACGTGTCCTCAAATAGAATATAAATATAAAAGAACCGTCTTTCCAAATGAATAAATCTTTTTCAAAACAAAAGGACCGAGGACTGATTTTTGAGTAAATTCATGTATAAATTGTCGAAAAAAAACTCAAGATTGTTTTTCCATTAGACTAATGATATGAAATTTAGATAAAGGAAGTGTGGAGTATTTTTCCATTAGATTGATAAAAGAAATTTAGAGAAAAAGAATTCAAGATTGTTTTTCCATTAAACTAATGAAATGAATTCGGAGAGTAAACGGTGCGCTACCCACTCAAAACAGAGAGAGAGAGAAATGTAATTTACTGCGCAATAAATACTTTGTCTTCTATTATGAGTTAAATTCATTTCATCAATTTACAATCTAGTTGGTGATGACGTCAAGAAAAATTTATTTATGGCTTTTATTTATGATTATTACACAAATAATCGGAGAAGATACGCGATCAATAATAATGTCTATAATGATTGATTCCAAGTTTTATTGTGCAAATACAACTTGTTTACCATTCATTAATATTATTACATTAAATATTAAGAATTGTCAATTCGCATGTTTAAGTCAAAGTCAATGTATAGCAGCCACTTTTCATCGATCAACTTCTAATTGTGAATTATTTGATAATATCTTGAATCAAAATGAAAATATGCTGACCGATGTAGATGCTATTAGTATGAATGTTATTAGTGGAACACAATTTCCATCAGGTCAGTATTGATTGAACAGATTTTGAAGAAAATATATCTGTGATAGAAAAAAAGTTATTATCTTCTTGGAAAATAGTTTCAATTTATCGAGAATTAAGACAGTTTGACAGAGATATTGAACACATATATACAAATCATCAATGTCTATTAAGCAAATTTTCAACTGAATTTCTTTGAAATCAATTAGATCAATCTGAATTCATTCGATTTTGTCATAAATATTTATAAACTGTCATCTTTCTTCTTTTAATTGGAATTATTTTCTGATTGGAATCTCTATAATTCTAAAAGTTTAATTATTGAAATTATTATAGGAAAAGATTTAATTAAAGTAAACATTGTAGAGTTATAATTAATTCGTATTTAACGTTAATATATATTCTTAAAGAAAAAGAAACAAATTAACAGATAAACATTATCCACTTGCTTAGTTTCAATCGAAAATCATTTTCTAAAATAGAACCAACTACGACATCAACATCAACAACAACATCATCATCATCAACATCAGCAGCAACAACAATTGGTGAGTGTTGGATTAAATATCTAGGGTTTACGTCAGTTGTTGAAAAGAGAAATAGTTTTACGAGATCTAAAAACCTAGTGTTCGGTACTTCGAATCATCTCAAATCCGAAAAAATAAAACGCCTTTGTGGGACGGAAAACTTGAGGGTGAGTGTCAGGTGAATACAGTATTCAAATCCACATCCACACCCACTCATACCCTCAAGACTTGAGACTATTGAAAATGGTTCAAAAAAGACTGCCCGATTCTATTCATCACCTTTGTGCTAACTAAGACGACGTTATTCAAACGCTAAACAATTCAACACGCTAAAAATAATTTTTGTTTTTAATAGCCTGCAACGTTTTTCTTAATCAAACTACTTACGCAGTTGGTTTTCAACCAATATCAGTAGCAGTCGCCGACGTGAATAGTGATAACAAACCCGATATTGTTGTTGCAAACCGCAATTCGAATACTGTGAGTGTTCTTCTTAACGCAGGCAGTGGCACCTTTGATGCTCAAACTACTTATACAGTTGGTACTCAACCATATCAAGTAGCAGTCGTCGACGTGAATAACGACAACAAACCCGATATTATTGTTACAAACTCTGGTGCGAACAACATCAGTGTTCTTCTCAACGCAGGTAGTGGTACCTTTAATACTCAAATTATTTACACAGCTGGCTCTTCTCCATACTCAGTAGCAGTCGTCGATGTGAATGGTGATAACAAACCTGATATTATTATTACAAACTGGGGTTCGAACAACGTCGGTGTTCTTCTCAACGCAGGCAATGGCACTTTTAATGCTCAAACAACTTACGCAGTTGGCTTTAATCCACAGTCGGTAGCAGTCGTCGATGTGAATAGTGATAACAAACCTGATATTATTGTTGCAAATTGGGGTGCGAACAACATCGGTATTCTTCTTAACGCAGGCAGTGGTACCTTTCATACTCAAACTACTTACTCAGTTGGTACTCGCCCATATTCAGTAGCAGTCGTCGATGTAAATAGCGACAATAAACCTGATATTATTGTTGCAAACTCTGGTTCGAACTCCACCGGTGTTCTTCTTAACGCAGGCAATGGCACCTTTAGTGCTCAAACTAGTTATCCAGCTGGCAATTTTCCATGGTCAGTAGCAGTCGTCGATGTGAATACCGACAGTAAACCCGATATTATTGTTACAAACTCCAATTCGAATGACATCGATGTCCTTCTCAATGCAGGCAATGGCACCTTTAATACTCAAATTGTTTACACAGTTGGTTCTTCTCCATCATCAGTAGCAGTTGTCGATGTGAATCAAGACAATAAACCCGATATTATTGTTGCAAAAGCTACCTCGAGCAGCGTCGCGGTTCTCCTACATTGTTAAGGCTCATCGACGATTATTATCTATTTATTTATTTATTCATATTTTATTAATCTGCTACAAATATTATGCTTATAAAACATTATATAATCCAAACTACTATTTAACCTCGTTCAATAATAAGAATTCAAACTAAACTTTGCGAGTATGGATATTAATAACAAATACATTAGTATCCATATACTGAACAATAATTCATTATTCTTCTCTGATCCGTTCAAAATAAGATTTTTTAACTATAAAGTAATTAATAAAATTCTCACTTTGAAATAAATAAACTACTATTGATTCTAAGAGGCGAAGTATACTTGTGAAGATGTGGGTGGTGCCACAATAATGATGGTAAAGAAGAAGAAAGTCACTCTTACATCCTTCTAAATATAGTTCAATGACAATTCAAGTATCTATTGGAAAGTAACTAATATATTTTAGTCAACTAGATTTCTATCAACATAAATATAAATGACAACAAATGAAACCAATAGAATAGTTTTTCTAATTTAATTAAGACTTCTATTTTTTTATTACAGAAAATGGTACCGAAGAATGGTCCTATTTGACACTTATTATTTGTTATAGTGTAGAACCAATCTCCATATAGAATCTAATGGAACTAAAAATTCATCCCATCGAACGTATGCTACGTGAATGATTTTGTACAAACCGAAATTTTTACACATTTATCGATGGACTATTAACGTTAAATCGTATATTATTTCATAATATTATTATAATCAGTTTTAACAGTTGTATGATTTCTAACAAAAATAAATCTCTTTCTAAAGCGTTTGTCTCATGGGATTCTATGGCTGTCAAAAATAGAGCTGTTAAGATATCCACTCGTGTATGACGTTGTTATATAATCGAGAACTTAAATATGTAAATATATAGAGACAAATACATATTTAATATTTATTAAATGAATGTCCACATGATGAACTGAATTGATTTGTGAGACCTTGTCGTGGTGCATTACATTGAGAACAAAATCCTGCTGATTGTCCAGGATAAGGTGGAGGTGCATAATTACTTTGTCCACTAAAACCTATTATTTGATCCGAAGCAGTTTGATTAGGATAATATGCTACGCTTCCAGGAGCACTGGAACGGCCAATATCTATTACTAACTAAAAAGAAAGATATTAACAAATTTATTCAAAAATAAAATCTACTTACATGATAAACTACTTGATGTCTATATTGGTTTCCATAATATTCAGTATAACTCGTTGAAGAATCTAACCTCCAACTACATGGTATTGGTGATCGAGAAGAATATTTTCTTGATTCTTCTGCAATTACTCGTCGCATTCTTTCTGCAAGTCGAAGTTGTAGAGTACAACATGCAATAATACAAAAAACCATTCCAAACATAATTATACTCATTCCAACACCAACTAATGCAGGAAACCCATGTTCTATATTCGTAGTTGCTGTTATTGCACCAACAACAAATAATATCATACCAATTATCATAGTCAATATAAGAATAACGCCTACGATTAATAAAATTTTACTTGAAGCAATTGTACGATTAATTTTATGAATTGATTCTTGAAATTCATTTTCATTAATTATTCCATTAAGATGAATTGGATATGTTGAATCAAATTCTGCTTTCAAACATCCAGCTAATTATACAGAAAAAGAAGCAAGACTATAAATTATGTAAATTTAAAAAATGAATAGTTACTTTGAACAACAGGTACATATATTGAATTAGGATTTATTGGTATACCAATCATTTCTTTTTCTGATATATATATATATATCACTATGAGAAGACCCTCTCTTCACGTTGTATCTTATTCGAATGAAGAACAAAAACAGAGAAGAAGAAGAAAAATAAACAAAGAATGTCAGTTACGATCAGATATGATGGGAAAGAATGTGTGAAGACATATGAAGATATGACTGTAACAAACACATACAAATATATGTATAAAATTTCTTAAATACTAAAGACTACATGACGGACGTATATATGCTGTAATCAAGTAAAAATCACAGATGGTAACTACACAATAGTAGAAAAGGACAAAATTGCATATTTAACGAGGATATACGTCATCGTGTGTTTTCGCTATGATATCATATAACAACAAAACGGCGTAGGAAAATATTCGTTTTTCTCCAAACAACATTTATTTTTTATCTTTATAAAACGAAAGAACAAGATATAAGAAATTGTGAAATATTTCTCATCTGTTTCTCTCTGAATAGTACATGAATAATATTGATTAATGATTTGATCAACATAAAAAAAAGCTACCTAAAGAATAAATATCAATAGAACTATTTTAACTTGTAATTGTTTTTGAAAAGAGTTGCATATGTTGAATCAACATTAATTTATCAATAAAATTCTGATTCATCATACCATTAAACATTCTTTATCTAATGTTTATACTTAGACTTAGGAATAATCAGAAGAACTGTTTGTAATACCTTTAATCATAAAAACTATTCGGTTTCAACATAATTTTTTTTCTTTTTGTTTTTCATATATTAATAATTAACTATTGTTTATGGGTGTGGGTGTAGGTGTTGTTAGATTAAGATAATAGAAACCTAAACCCACGCCCTCAAACTATAAAAATCATCATATATACGATATGAATAAAAGAATCTATTTTTATTTATTATCAAGTGTATTCAAGCAGTAATAATATAACTTCTTTGGCATATTTTCATTTCTCTTCCATACTCTTTTCAACATCTAAGGAAAAGTAACATGAAAGAATTATGAATGCATTTTTAAAATAGATCGTAATATTAATAAAGGACGTGTCATTTTTATTATTTCTATATTAGATACAATTGACAAGTAACCAAATTATTGATCTTCTTTTTTTCTAAAAGAATCAGTAAATGATTTATTGTAATGAATTAATAATTATACTGAAATATTACAATAATTTTATGCTACAAAAAATTCTCTCATTCTCTAAAAACTTTCTCATATAGAAATAATGCAACAGTTTACACTTTATCATCCTTTACTGAGAAAATTTTTTATTCAAAAACCATGCTTTATCAAATATTTATAAATTTAAATTGTCTATTATTAAAAGACTATCTAGACAAATATCGAATTATCATACAATTTACAGTACAAACGACATGAAGTGTTGTAAACATGGTAGCATCATTTCTGACTTTATCTTTTCTATGAAAAAATATTTTTTTCTGATTATGTAAGTATGATTACAATATAAAATGTTTTAAATTGTGTTTAGATATAAAAAATAAAATTTCATCAAAGTCGTGCCAATTTCATGTTCTATATTTAACATGAAATATATTGAGATAATTAAAAATAAATTTAGATTTTAATTAAAATGGAAATAGTTTTCATAGATTGTGTAACTTCTCATAAAACTATAAATCAAGCCTATTTTATTCTAACACAATCGAAAATTTAGTCCAAACTACTCTAAGATTATGATTAATCCAAGTGCATTTATATTGTGTTTAATGACATCTATTATTTGTTCATTGACATGTTTATTTTCATGTTTTATATTAATTTGTGTCATTCATCATCTTTATCATAATCGTTTACAACAAGAAGATCGAATAATAAATATTCATTGTATTAATATTTATTCATTAGTTTCAATCTATATTGGAATATTAGCATTACTTAATATCCAGACAGTTTTAGGAATTCAATATGGATATAATTTTAATTTATCATCGTGTATATTTTTAGGATATCTAACTTCTATTCTAATCAGTAGCATATATTGGGCTTTTGTAAATCAGGTAATTCATTATTGATTAACTAGAACAATGAAAAATATTTTGTTTTAATTGTTAATGTAGGCATTCTTTCGACTTTGTCGAGTTGTATATCCAAGTATACGATGGCTTCAATCATATCAATTATATATCATTTTACCATTCATAGAACTAATTTTCAGTTGTATTTTAATAAGTCCAATTCTTTTTCTACATGATATTGTTTATCTTCCACAAGACAATTATTGTTTTGTATCATTTACTAATGTGTTTAGTTTGCTTTGGCTTGCATTTAATGGTTATGGAAATCAGATTGGAGTATTATTATTTGTCTATATACGTATTACAATTTTTCTTCGTCATCAATCAAATACTCAATCACTTATTGTTAAACACCGACAAGAACGTGATTTACTTGTTATTCGACGTATTCTGATAACTGTTGGTTTATTAATAAGTCTTGGAATACCTGCTATGGTTTTTATAGTGATGTCGTTTATTACACATGAAGATTATCCTCTAACCTATCCTTTCGTATTCTTTTTTATTAGTATATCAATGATAGGCGTATGTTTATCAACAATTATTTTTACACCACAATTAAAAACGATTGTTGTTAAAATAATTCAACATAATCGCGTTATACCTCTAAATGATAGCTTCATAGGTTCGATTCCAATGAGACAATAATATATATATACTATGCACTAAATTCTACTTATTATATCTAAAATATTTTTTTGTTATGTTTTATGTTTTAATATCACATGATGATTTAATTCGTTTCATTTCATTTTCTTCTATATAAATAAAGATATTAACAAAAACTTTTCCCTACAGGGTGGTGCATAACCTTTTGCTCTAGGGGTAGCGCTATGATTCCAACTAGAGTAGAGTACTTAATGGATTTTGTATCAAGTAAAAGTGCTTCGAAAACTAGATTTATTAATACGAAACAGTACGAGTTATCAGAACCTTTTAATATTGAAATACGAAATTTTCTTGAGGGTGTGGGTGTGGGTGTGGGTGTAGAAAAGAAAAAAATAAATACCCACACCCACTCATCCACACTCACATCCTTTGCTCATATATAATGAAGAGTGTGAGTATGCGGGCATGAACAAAGATGTGAAAACTATAGTCATCTTTCATCTACACCCTCATCCATTAATTTCAATCAGGGATGTTCATCGGGATTGACAACTCGTCGTTGTCAGATGGGTTGCAAGAAATATTAGATAATTGATCTGAGTTTTACGACTTTGATTATGTTTGAATAGAACTTTTCCTACTAATTCATAAGATCCATCCATCTATTTTCGGAGTTTTGCTTTTGCATATATTCAATTTATAGTTGAATTCATGCATCTTTTTTATGTCTCTTACAAAATATTTATTGCGCGTAGAGAAACAAAAAATGTGATTAAAAGCGAGTCCTGACAATAGCAGATTATTATTTAATAGAGTCAAATAAAAAAGACATGAAACTAATCATGACTTATTTATTAACGTCTATCATTTATTGACGATGATAGTTGATATCTTATTTTCAGTTAAAACACGTTTGATAATCAAGGTAGATTTTGATCAATTCTTCTTTCTCTTCATCACGTTCTTCTTCACTAAAATCTTTTGATTTTCTATTAAAGAAAAAAAAGAAAAGAAAAAAATTATCAATTTTTCATCTTATCTATAACGAATCCTTCTCTAGAGAACTTGTTTTGCTCTTTATGTTATCTAGAAGAAATGAAAGAAAAAGAGAGATGTATAACTAGAGAGAAAATCTACAACGAGTGTCATTTGGTTTTTATCGAAGACAAAGAAGAAGAAGAAGATTATTTTATTAGTTAATTAATTTATCAAAAATAAATCTTGTTGAATGATGTGGAATATCTACATGTTTCTCATTATTCTTCTGTTCGTTCTCAATAATGAGACATCAGGTAAATACTTTTATTTATCACATATTCAAGATCAGTCATTGCACAAAAATGACATTATTCGTTAGAGTCTTAGTCGAACAAAAGAGAGTCAAATAATAGATTATAGAATTTGACAGAAATTTCTGCTATAGATTCAAAAGTAATGGTACTGATCTCTTGCAGAGACTATGCGAGATTTTTTTGTGATTTGAAGAATGAGCATACTTTAATTTTAAAAGTATAAGTTGAATACTGACCGATAGTATTGTAGATATCTGAGTTTATATCGACTGATAGTTTTAAAACGACTGAAAACTTGAACATTACTGAAACCTTCTATCGATATCAAGTTAATTTGTAGATCTTGAGACGAGAATGAGACACAAAAGAAAGGAAAGAAACCTATCTCATCATATCGCATTATAATATATGGAAAAAAAGAAAAGAACAACAACAAATTAATGTAAATGAAAACTAAGTTTTATGAAATTATTTGACTATGTAGTTTGGTTTGAGATACGATGTAGATTCATTTATCCCAAACAGGTTAACATCTCCATTATATAAAAAATAATATGAATAATAAAATAGTTCTATTGTTTTTAATGTACTCAAAGAGTTTTCTGTAGAAAAATAGAAGTGAGGTATAAAGTCAGTATATTGGATTATAAGCTGTAGAAATGAATATATCTACTAGAATGAAAGAGCACAAATCATAGGATAATGTAGAATTACTTGACGAGTACAAATTCATGATTGATACTATCATTTTTATCACTAGACTATCACAAAAGAATATTGTTGAGTAAGACAACATTTGAATCAAAGATAAAATACATAAAAGTTTTTCCAATCCTTAAAAGGAATCGATGATTATTGAAATTGTTTTCTCAAAATATTCAACTTGAAATAATAATTGGTTTCAAATTTGTTTTGTTTAATTTGATAAGAATCTCAAAAGAAACAAAAATATATTATTGAGAAGAAAAAAAAGAATATTTTTCGTAAATAATTTCTTCGAATGATTATTTAAATAAAGATTAGCAAGAGAATTTTCTTCTCTCTTTCACATATAAGATTCAATTCATAATATTTTGTTTAGATTTCAATCAATTTCAATAAAGTCATTTTCATTCTAAACATTTCTTTTTTTTCTTCCTTCAAATTCATTTTCGTCGGAGAAATAAAATTAATTATTTGATTGTTATTTTGTCTTCCACGAAAATCATATTTTTTCAAATTTTCTTTAATAAATTCAGGCCTTTCTTAGCTGATATTTACAAATCATCCGAGAAAATACAATAATAATCATAGAAATCTTTTCAAAATTAATCTCAATGAATTTTTCCGAGAAGAAACATAAATTAACAATTTCATTTCGTTTATTACAGTTCTTCTCTAATGTTCTTTCGACTTTTCTTGTTTTTAGTTCTTTCATTCAATCAACCAAAGTTTTCTTCAACACCCATTTGGGATTCTAATGGAATTACTTTTGCTGATCAATCGATTGTTGGTCAACATCCTAACGCCGTTTTTGTGAGCACTAATAACACAATCTATGTCGCCAATTGGCAAGACGATACAATTCTAATTTGGCAAGAGGAGAGTGTCAATCCAACCAAGATCATTCGCGGTAGTTTTATAGGACCCTATTCTCTCTTTGTGACATCAAGTGGTAATGTTTATATTGATGATGGACTTAAGAATAGTCGAGTTCAGAAATGGATAGCAGAAACAAATAACTTTGTCACGGTAATGAATGTCAGCACATCATGTTGGGGTTTGTTTGTCGATATTAATGATACGCTTTATTGCTCAATGTCTAATCATCATCAAGTAGTGAAAAGACCATTAAATGATGCTGTGATGACTTCAAATGTTGTTGCTGCTGGAACAGGTATTCAAGGATCAGACTCAAATCAACTTGATGTCCCAATCGGAATTTTTGTCGATGTGAACTTGGATTTATATGTAGCCGATTATGAAAATCATCGAGTTCAATTGTTCCAGCCAGGAGAATCAAATGGCATCACAGTAGCTGGAAATGGATCACTAAATCCAACAATTACACTTCGTTATCCAAGTGGAGTTATATTAGATGCCGAGAAATATTTATTCATTGTGGAGTATGGCAATAGTCGCATTGTTGGCTCAGGCTTGAATGGTTTTCGATGTTTAGTTGGATGTTATGCAGTGAGTTCTCAATCCAGTGACCTGACAACGCCATTTAGTTTTAGTTTCGATCACTCTGGAAACATGTTTGTTACTGATCGAGGAGATTCTCGAATTCAAAAATTTTTCTTGATGAAAGATTCTTTTGGTAAGTTGCAGAAAAGTTGGATGAAATGAAGAGATAAGAATAAACAAGTAATAGAAATTAGTAAAGAAGTTTCCATATAAAAAACGAAAGAAAACAAAAATAATTGAGAAAGATTAATTAATCCAATGTGTCTAAGAAAATGAAATGTTCAGATTAGACAGAGTCATGTGTCAATCGTCTAAAGCAAACAATTCGCCTTTCTATCAAGATTAAAGAACAGAGAAAGAAAAATGTTTTTTTGTTTAATGGAGTAGTAGAAAGGGCTTTCATGTTTCATTTTATATTTCTTAAAGAAAATTTCATCAATGAAATAGTTTTTATCAAAATAAAATCTCTTCATATCTTTGTTGATACAGTCTTAATAGAAATTATTCTATGATTTCACTTCATATTTCATATTTCGATATGTTTTTTCGTTCGAGAAAAGTAGGACAAATAAAATATCATAATTTTAACAGCTAATTTTTCTTCTTTCTTATGTAGAAAATGAATTTAGCTATTGTTGTTTTTTGAGAGAGATAAACTTCAATATGAAATATTATAAAAAATGAATTTTCTCGTAAAGAAATGTTTTATTGTTTCGATAGTTATCATAATATTTAATTGCAGAAAGTAATATTGAATAGTTCAAGATAATCTATAATGAGAGATATTATGTTCTTATTTCTATAATTATAAAATAAGTAAAACTATTGAGTTAATTTTGAATAAAAATATTTATTTGTTTCATCAAATTCATTCGTTTAAGATGATCAATAAAAAAAATTGATTTTCAGTCAAATCTATTTTCGGTTGTTTTTAAACGGGAATTTTAGACAACTTAATTAAGAAAGGTTTGTTTTATGTATACTAAACAAAGACGAAACATTGTGATCTCTGATAAACCTTTGAAATTTCTTCAGATAAAAAATCTTCGTGCGACAATTTCTACAAAGAATGTCCAGAGAGAGATAAAAAGACTTTTTGCAGATCATAATAAATCTTATGTTTTCTCTTACTTTTCATTCAGTATTGATATGATGTGTAGTGACATTATTTTGCTATTTCTCAATGAAATTTACTAAGATAAATCGAGTTATATTTCCAATAATATAGACAACTGAGATAACATAGGAACTTTTTTCGTTTTCCTTTGAGTTTTTCTCTAAATTAACTTTAAATGTTTGTTAGAAAAAAATTTGAAAAACTTTAAATAAAATAAATGTTTGAAAATTGAAATTTGTATTTATTCCACTTTATATGTTATATGAAAACTAATAAAAATCATTTCTAAATGTCTTTTTCATCAAAAACTTCTTTTGAAGAAACTTTATTTTTCTTCTACAAATACATAAATTAAGAATTTCATTGCCTTTACAGTTCTTCTCTAATATTCTTTCGACTTTTCTTGTTTTTAGCTCTTTCATTCAATCAACCAAAGTTTTGTTCAACTGCCACTTGGGATTTCAAGGGAATTACCATTGCTAATCAATCGATTATTGGTCAGCATCCTAACGCCGTTTTTGTGAGCACTAATAACACAATCTATGTTGCTAATCAAGAGAATAACACAATTGTGATTTGGGATGAAGACAGTGTCGATCCAACAAAGATCATATCGGGTAATTTTACAAAACCCTATTCGTTGTTCGTGACATTGAATGGTGATATTTATATTGATGATGGTGATAACAATGGTCGAGTACAAAAATGGATAGCAGAAACAAATAACTTTGTCACGGTAATGAATGTCAAGTCATCATGTTATGGTTTGTTTGTCGATATTAATAATACTCTTTATTGTTCAATGTATAATCATCATCAAGTAGTGAAAAGATCATTAAATGGTCTCGTGATGGCTTTAAATCGTGTTGCTGCTGGAACAGGTAGATACGGATCAGCCTCAAATGAACTCAATTTTCCTCATGGAATTTTTGTCGATGTAAATTTGGATTTATATGTGGTTGATTATGGGAACCGTCGAGTTCAATTGTTCCAGCCAGGAGAATCAAATGGCAACACAGTAGCTGAACTTCCATCACGAGATCTAACAATTGTTTCTCCTATACCAATTGGAATTCTATTAGATGCTGAGAAATATTTCTTCATTGTAGATCAATACAATAGTCGTATTTTTGGTTCACGTTTAAATGGTTTTCGATGTTTAGTTGGATGTTATGAAAGGGGTTCACAATCCAATCAATTGAATAGTCCATCTAGTTTGAGTTTCGATCGGTCTGGAAACATATTTGTGACTGATACAGATAATCATCGAATTCAAAAATTTCAATATATCGAAGAATCATGTGGTAAGTTTAGAATGATTGAATAAAGTCTCTAATATCATTTCAATCAATATTTATTCAGAGAATTAAAACGAAAAAATACTACAGAAGATGAAAATAAAACTTTAGATGGACTTCATACAGAATTATTGAATAGTTAAATTCAAGTTTTATTCTAAGATACTATTGTTATAAAAGAAACCCTTGCTTATTCATAATTCTCTACAAAAGTCAATTAATAACATTATCGTCATGTTAGTTGCATGATATACAGATGGAAGTTAGAATGTCTATGTATTTAGTAGTAAAGTCAGAGATGAATTCAGCCCTTTCTGTTGAATTTTCTTTATAAATTGTTATTGATTTACCATTAGCTGCACTCACTTATCACTGCTGACTGTAGAAAAAATTCGTAGATATAAAGCATCTATGAGAGAGAAATGACCTTATATTCGAGTGTTAACCACAACTCGTGACGCAATCATATAGATTCAGAATGTCACCTTTATTCTTGAGATGAGAAAACGATTATGTTATATTTGCACTCATGATTTTGTTTGACGAACAAGTGAGATTTAAACGTAGGTCAGTGTCTTTACAAAAAATATCAACAACGAGACAGAGAAAAAAGTTTCATCCTTACCTGATTATTCAAGATACACTTTATTAAAATAAAAAATAATTAAAGAATCGGTGTTGTAATATTTTAACAATGGATCAAATATGAGAATATTTTGATTTGTTAAGATTGAGTGTCACTTCCAACCGACATTTTCTTGATGATGTCATGTCATACTCGTAGATTGACTAGAATTTTGTTAGATAGTTTATTGTTACCCTTAGAAATATCGACAAAAAAAACTAATGTTCTGCATTATATTTGTAAAAGGAAAAAGATTTGAAGATAAAGATGACAATGAAGAAGTCATGAATTCGTAAGTCAATCACTTATCAGACTTTCTTAGTTCAGTATGGTACTCGTTCTTGTATACGAGGTTTTATAAGATCTCTTTGTTGTAATTATGACAGCATCTCTTGAAAAGAAAATGCGGATTCTAAAGACTAACATTGATACTTATTGTAAGGACGCTAAATAAATATTTTATTTCATGTTTTTCTTCATTTCTCTATTAAAAGTATTGCTCTAAAACAAACGATTCTACTCTTATTAATAAACAGAATGAAAAGCAAACCAAGAATATGTGCAATCATTTCTTTTCTTTATTGTAAATACAAATACCCATTGATTTTTTCATTCAATAGATAATTCATTATTAATAAAGTCAATGTATTTATCATCATTGACATCGAATAGTTCAATTTATTTTCAAGATTGCTCAGAGATCAATTCGTATTATGAAGCGATACAAATCAACATCACTATGACTGGATACTATATTTTTTTAATAAACAGCGAGATGAAAACCATGTATACTTATATCTACACAAATGACTTCAATCCATTCGATGTGACCAAAAATATTGTCACCCCGAATAGAGAATATGAAAATCGAGATCAGCTTCAGTTCATATATTTTCTTCAAGCCAACATGAAATATATTTTCATTATGACAATACCTGCTTCAAATGTAACAGGAAATGTATCGATTCAAGTATCTGGCGTAAGCTATATTGGTTTCAATCGTATTTGTGAGTATATATAGTATTTTAATGAATAATCAGCTGCATATATTCACAACCGATAGAAATATAGATAAACTCAATCTACAAAATGATATACAGATATTTCTATTCGATAGAGACTAAGATTCATATCACTTACAGTCGCTTCCGGTAAATGTATCTGAGAGAGAAAGTAATATTTCAAATTATTTGCACTTATTTCTATATTATACAAAATTGAATTGATTTTCTATTTCGTTAGCGAATACTTCATCAGTTGTTCAAACAGTTTATGCATCAGAATTGACAACGAACAGTCCAACGTATTTACATACGTGTTTCGTTTTAAGCACTTACTATGAAGCGATACAAGTGAATGTTCGTGGAAGTGGTCTTTACACTTTCTTCAGCAAAAGCAGTATGGTCACATATGGCTCAATTTACAAAGAACATTTTAATCCATCGAATCCATTTCAAAACCGACTCTTATACAAGTATTATAGCTGCATTCTACATCAGTTTAGATTTACAATTGCTCTTCAGAGTAGTATTAAATATATATTGGTTGTGTCAACGGTTATCTCCAAACAGAAAGGTGAATTCTCAATCTTTGTATCTGGTCCAGACAATGTTGATCTCAAGAATATTAGTAAGTGTTTGCGTTAGAACTATTAAATGAATATTTGTCAACGTTAGCATGAGTATTTAGTTGAGTTTGGCAGATTCACAAATAAAAACTTGTTTTGTAAGATGACATTTGTATTATAAGAAGAAAGCTTTACATAAACAGCCACATTAAATTCATCAAATAACAGAATATTGTGAATAGGATCAGAATAATCGATCACTAATCTGATGTGAATAATATACAAATCGGCATGAATCCCTGCTCATGGCCATGAAATGAAAAAAGAACTTTGCTTTTTGTTAGAACATGTCCTTTCACTCAATGTTCCTATAATAAAAAAATGCTACAAACATTCAAATATAACTTATCGTAGATAAAAAATATAAACATATTTTTGCTTTGTATAGATCTAAAAGATATCTTTACATACTTTGATTTTTGAATAAATTATACTAGTAGGAGAATTAGACTATAAATAAACCATTTTTTCTATCTAAAACATTGTGATATTATCCATTTCCGAAATAAAAAAGTTATTCAAAATTCATTTACAACTTGATTATTTATTGAGAGAGACATTGTAGACAGTTCTCTCTTCAGAAAGCTAGATTCAACTTGGACGTGTCTTTCAATATTCCGAGTATATAAGAGATGACTTATGATGCTCAATTTTCTTTCTTACATCCAGACAATTCGTCTATCTCTTAATCAATCGAAATTTATGAAGAATCGTGACTGTTAATTTTGTTTTCATCATATAGGTTCTCCATCAGTCACCGAAATAAAATATTCATTAGCTGTACAATCAAAATATTCATTACAGCTGACTGCAAATAGCCAGACATATTCTCGAGATTGTCGAAAATCAAACTATTACTATCAAACTATACGAGTGAATGTAGTGGAAACTGGATACTATGCTCTGAGTAGTAACAGCAGTATGGATACGTTTGGTGATATTTACAAAGATGATTTTAATCCAATGAATCCGTTCGAGAATCTACTTTCACAAGATTATTGGAGATGTATTTGGGACGATTTCAGTCTTATCGCTAATCTTCACAGTGGTACTACATACATATTAGTGGTGACAACATCTTCTCCAAATGTAACAGGAAAATTTTCCATTGAGATATCCGGTCCAAATCATACGGTTTTTGATCCTTACAGTAAGTATTTTGTATTATTTGTAAATCATTAACAGAGGCGTACAACATCCCACTAGATTCTATTTTTACTCTTGAATAATAAAAGATCTGAGAATTTCAGATAGATTCTCAATCAAATAAGATTAAGTCTCAGTATTGTAGCTTAGTCGTGATTAGATGGATTGTACGAGTTCAATCAGTCGTATAAATTAATACAACTTTTCTTTTCGCATCACCGATATATTCGAGAAGCTCTATTCTTCAGTGATTTCATACTACCTGTGATATTATTACTTGACAGGTCATATGCTAAAACATCTTTACAAAAATGATTAAATTCATCTCGAGACATTGGGCAGAAAATAGAAATATATGAATCTCATCTCGACACGACATGTCATGTATAGAAAAATGACTTTGATAGACTATTGTTGCTTACAGATTTGCACCTACATGACGTTGTTAAGTTGAGAAAATTTGATCTCATCTCTTGATCATCATGTATTTCTTTCTTCAGCTCAAAGTCTAACCAGTTGTTTTATTGGCCAAAAATGTCAGTTCTACAAAAAAAGTATTGGTATCATTCTCGATGATATTTTACGCGACGAAATTCAACCGAACGTGACAATGACTGATCAAACAATATTGGTCAAAATCAGTGCCGCTTCAATGATGATTATGTTTGTTGGAGGTTTAATCAATAGTTTGTTGTCTCTACTAACATTTCAAAATAAAGATCTACGACAAGTTGGATGTGGCATCTATCTCTTAGCATCATCAATTACTTCTTTTCTTACAATTAGCATGTTTACAGTGAAGTTTTGGTTTGTTGTTCTCACTCAAATGAATCTATCGATTCGTGTTTCTGTTGTTCGAGGAGGTTGCGTATCGATCGAACCTCTTCTCAAGCTTTGTTTATATTTGGATGCTTGGCTCAATGCTTGTGTAGCCATTGAAAGAGCGATTCTCGTTTTCAAAGGAGTCAAATTCAATAAACAAAGAAGTCGATGGATTGCTCGATGGATAATTCTCATCTTACCATTCTGTATCATGATTTCGATCATTCACGAACCTATACATCGAGAGTTGCGTGAGGTAAAAATAGAAACGAACAAAGTAGATATCGATAGATGGTGTTTAACTCGTTATTCTCCTTCTATTCAAAAATATAATACAATCATCCTATTTTTTCATCTTGTCGCTCCATGTATCATCAATCTTTGTTCTGCTTTATTCATCATATTTGGATCAGCCAGACAACGATCAGCAGCTCAAACAAGACAAACTCTAAAAGAACATATTTGTGATCAATTTAGGGAACATAAGCAACTATTAATTAGTCCAATTATTCTTCTAATTCTGTCCTTACCTCGTCTTATTATGTCAATGTTATCTGAATGTGTCAATCCATCGAATCATCGATTATTATTTATTTTTGGTTATTTCATTTCATTTACTCCATCGATGCTTATCTTTATTATTTTTGTCCTTCCATCGGAATTGTACAGAAAAACATTTCAAGAACCATTCAAACGATGGCGACGACTCATTCATCAATAATCAATATTTCTTCATTATTTCAGAACTTTTCTAATTTATTCGTATAGTATTCGCTTTAATTTGATAATTAATCGGGAAATGTCGATCAAACAGAATATTTTCCACCATTTGCATAAACTACTGGATAATAAAAGACAAATTTGATGAATTTATGGTACGATATAATTTCTAACCTGTTGAAAAATAAAGACGAGAATGTATTCATCACGTATACATCCGTACTCACTATCAAGACGAAATCTTACAATTTTCGAAAGTGTTATATCTGAAAAGAGTTCTCATATCAATTTCTCAGCTTGTTATTTAATAAAATTGTATGTTAGTATAGCTTTCATCCCTAAAAATATTATTTATAAACGGAAAATGATTAGACAAAATGTCGGACTAACAACAAAATAGAATTGAAACCTGCTTAACATTAGAAAATTAGTGTTTGAGGTAGTTTTCAAAAAAGATTATTTTAAAAGATTGTGATGAGACTTTTGTCTTAACACTTTCATCGATTATCATTAACAAAATGAATAAGATTAGATTTAATGAATTAATTAGATATTTTTTTGGAGAACATCAAATGGTGCATCCGTTCAGAATAATGATAAATATCAAATACTAATAGTATCATTTTTGATGTCGCATCCATATGATCATCTTTTATTCGTCGCGAAGAATGAAATTCGATCAAAAAATATCACTTAGGTTATATGGAACAATCAAAAGAGTGCTTCACTTGGCTTCAACGTTAGTAAAATAAGTAATTAGGTAGACAAATAATCGAATCATTTTACAATTCAATATGATATACATACAGAAAACAAGTGAGTGGAGCACAGTTTTTATTTGAATCTTGAGGGTGTGGGTATGGGGTGGACAGTTTGGATTAAGGTTTGGATGAGGACTTGGATGCCAGTATGAATGCGTGAGATAAAGAGAACGTTCCACCCACACTCTTAAGATAATATGCATTCTCTTTGTGAATATGTTTTTCAAACGTGAATCAAATATATATTATAATATACGCAAAAAAAAACAAAAAAAATATTAACTAGATAAGTTTCTTAAGATCTCTTCTCATTTGTTAACATTATTACGGTCATCAATCTTTTTCTTTTTTGTCTTTCGTTCTTGTACAAATTTGTGTACACCGATAAGGAAGACACTCGATATCACTAATGTACTTCCAAGTAATACCCATAAATTTGATTTATCTTTTGTAAATATATTCTGTAGAAGAATAGCATAAATAATCTCTGATGCCGAGACTATTGTGACAATAGATGGTCGTTCACGTTTCACAGCACGATTTCCACAGATTACTCCAAGTGTTTGTAATAGACTAATTAATGTAGCTAACCAATATTTCCATTGAAAGATTGTCAATGTAAAGAATGTTAAATCATTCAATAGAAAATATTTATAAAATTGATTGAATATTAAACATAGAAGAAAAACAAAGGAATGTTGGAGAATTAAAACACTCGTTTTAAGTTTTAAAGTTATCAATTGTTTGAAAATTAGAAGATTGAATGCAGAGAAAAGTCCTGTCCCTAACGAAAGAGAGATACCAATCATTCGACTGCTAAATAAAAACGTGTCCACTATGTCTGTTCCATTTAATGCTATTATCGGTGTCATATTTAGAGGAATCTCTGCCGCTATCTTCTTCTGTTTAAAGATAAATGTTGGTTGTGCGACAAATACAACGCCAATAAGTGTCAAGAAAACAGCTAAGAAAATTATTAATGACGGTTTCTCTTTATAAATGAGTATACCAAAGACAACTGTCCATAATAAACGAGTAAAATTAAGTGTTGTTAAATCAGGCAGAGGAAGATAACGAAAGCCAATAAAATATCCGAGAAAAACAAAACCATTTAGAATACATAAGACCAATTGTAGCCATTTTTCTTTTGATGAACCGATCCATATTGGATAGTGATGAGAAACAACAAAGATTCCAAACAGAAAAATCTGTATGATGAAACGTATGACGAGTGCATCGAGTAAATCAATTTGTAATTCTTTAATAGTAAATGTGGCTGTACAAAAGAGAAAACATCCTAGAAGACTGTAGAGGATACCAGATAGAGCAAATGGTTTTGATGTAGCTATCGATTCACCATCATCAACTTCTTCTGTTAATAACACAACGGGTTCTATTGCTGTAAGTACAGATGAACTACGTCGAGTCTTTACAGTACTATCATCGTTAGTAGTAGATGAAGACAGTAATAGATGCTGTTGATTATGATTCTCTTGCTCTGCGAGATTCATCTTAGTTTTTACTGTGTGATGCGCAGATTTGTGAAAGAAATACGTTATATGATAGCTGATAAACTCAAATTTTATAATGCATAAAGGAGAAGAGAAAAATATTTGTTCTATTCTTGTGTGAAGTTACTTATGCAGAAGTGTGGTATAAAAAAATAAAGATATGAGTTCGAATGAGAGAATAACAATAAATTCGGCCTTGAGAAGAAAAAGAAAAGCATGTGGAAGAAGTGTTGTCTCAATATTTGTCAAACAAACTGAGATTTCTAGAAATATACAACAAACTCGAACGATTTGATCTGTAATGTCTGCATTCTGATAGAAAAAGAATGCAAATCTTTTGTTATAATACGAAGTGAAAATATCGAAACACAAGGCGCCTCAAAAATCAGTCTCTTCAATCATGAGATTCTACTAAATCCATAGATTATTCAGAGGTATTCGTCTGCATAATATAGGTAAAATCGACAGAAGTATAGGGTCATAGAAATATTTTGCAACAAATTATTTCTATCCTATTTGTCATAAAAAAAAGCAAGAAGTGTCAACAATCACAACTATCAATTACTTCAATAAATATCCTTTTCTTCTTTTCTTACAGTTTTCTCATATAAAACACTTTGAGTATAATACTTACACGTTTTATGAGGAACTTATCTTCATTTATAAGATCTTATCATATCTACACCTTTAGTCAATAGTTGAAATCAATTTACGAAGTAATTTTTCTTCAAAAATAGAAAAACAGATAATTTAAATGATTGCATATTTTGTTCAAATATGATTCTAAAAATGAAATTTTTTTCATTCGTTTGAATAAATGTGTCCCATCAGAAATTTATTTTCTCATAAGTTATAGAATTCATTAAAAATTAAAATAAGATCAGTGATAACCATCTGTACAAATCATATTATAGTTAATCACTGGTCACCATTTCAAAGAAAAAAAAGAGAAATCTTTGATTGATATTCAACTATTCATAGATTTGAGAATGATTTCCTATCAGATCAAAAATTTTTATAAAATTTGTTTTTGGAAAATATAGAATCACATATAGAAATGAAAATTTTAGCCTTTTCAAAACATTTTTCATCAATAGCTTTATTTTATTTAAACAGTTTTTCTTCTTCATCGTATTATTTTCATCATTTTTAATATACAAAAGGGTGTTGCTGTGGATCTAACTATGAATGAAGAAGAGATAGTCATCCACACCCTCAATGAAATAAAAATAAAAAATACAAAGTAAATAAAATGAAGAAAAACAAGATTTTTGAAAGCTGGAAATAATGTCAACTAAAAATAACATTTTCAATAAAAGAAAATCGTTCGGAAAATAAAAACATTGATAAATATAATGATTTGATTGAAAAAGAAAAACTATATCGAAATAAATAAATAAATAAGATATGATCAAATTTAATCATAAAAACAGAAGTATTATAGATAATCGAATATCCCAAAATATTCTTTTTTTATATTTCAGCATAGATATAGAAATAGAAATTTCATCTTTTCTCTTAAAAATTAAAAATAAATTTTAAATATTATCACAGATTTATATTCAATTAATCTTTTTTATTTTCAAATTTTTTGTTAAAACCTATGTAAAATTATTTTTATATGAAAAAGAAATCAATAATTATTTAATCAATATTTTATTTATGGAAATACAATTCATATTTTATAATATCGAATGAATATTATTTTAATTGAAGTAATATCAATCAATAGCTTTTTATTCAATCAAAGTTATGGATAACACAAAGTTAAGAACAATCAAAGTTAAGGATAACAATCAGAATTGAAGATAACAAA